ATCATGTAAATCTAGTAAATAATTAATGCATAACACTTAAAAAATTAACACTCAATTAAAAACTGCATTACATTAAGTTGTTTTAGTAACACTGTTAGCTATAGTAATGTTAATTTTACACTGTTATTAAAGAGAGATGGAGAGAGAGAGTGAGAATTAACAGTAACAATTTATCATTATTACTCTTAGAATTTGTACTTTTAAACTGCTTTTTTTAAGTTAATACTTTATTTTAATTGTTTAGGTATTTAATGTTAAATAAGTGACTTTTTTTGTTTTTAAAACGAAAATTTCACTTTGACTCTTCATTGTATTTAAAGCCGCGTTTTAGACTTCAGAACAATTTTACTGTTTGGCGCGTGAAAACCTAAAAAGTAACCGTTTTATTTTCTTTTTATAAAAAATAACGTTTAATATATATATTTTTTTGTATTAAAAAAAGGAATTGTCTATTTTTATTGAAAATAAATCTACATGTGCGAGTAATTAAATTTTGTTGTAAACTATTGCATAGCGTGTAAATTGTTAATGTTTTCGTTAATTTATAAAAATTATATTTATAAAAATTTACTTTTGTTAAAGACTAATCGTGGGACCAAAAAAATTCTAATTTTTGTTTATTTATAACAGTTAATAAAACGTATAGAAATAATAAAATTTTTTGTGTAAAAAACAAACAAGTGTTAAAATTATATTTGAAACACAACAACAACAATAATTATTTGATATTAACCATAAAAATTGAAAGGTAAATAAATGTAGAGACAAGTTTAATAAAAAAAATTTAATTGAAATTTCAAACATTTTTTGGAAATTACGTTTTGTAAAAAAAAAAAATTGCCACCAAAAAAAAAGTTCAATAACTTAATAATTAGAAAAAGTTTTAGGAATATGAAATGTTTTCAAATTTATTCCAAAGTTCAAAATTTTAAATAAAACACACGTTTTTATAAAAAAGTTTAAAAACCCAGATATTTGAAAGTAAAAATATCTAAAATCCGTAATAAAAAACGCTGAATTGGTAAAATATCTCTAAATTATAAAAAAATTACAATCATTTTTAAATTTCAAACAAAAAAATTAATTCCTAAAATATTTAAAAAAATCTCCTCAAGTGGGGATTTTTGTTAAACATTTGGGAATAAAAATTTGTATGTTTTTGGAAGCATACAAACATGGTTTATAAAGTAAATTATTAAAAATTCTGGATTTATTAAAAATATACACTTCCCCGGCAAAAATAGATTTCCCCAGTAGGGAATTTTTTAAATTTTTATAAGGAATTTTATGTTTCTTCAACTAAATATTGTTTAACCGAAAAAATTTATGATTTCTAGAAAGAAACTAGAATTCTTAAAATCTTAGTAAAAAATCTTTTCAAGTGGGGATTTCTGTTAAACATTTGGGAATGAAAATTTTTGTTTTTTTAGAAAGAAAAATTCATAATTTAACAATTAAAACATAAAAAACTAAAGTTTTACGAAAAAAATATACTTCCCCGGCAAAAATATACTTCCCCAGTTTAGATTTTTTTGTTTATTTTCTGAATTTTATAAAGAATTTAACTTTTCTTTAACATAAATAATTGTAAACATTTAAAATTTTTACATTTTTGCTAAGAAATTTGAATTCCTAATTTCAGGTTTAAAATCTCCTTAAGTGGGGATTTTTGAAAATTGTTTGGGAATGAAAATTTTTATGTTTTTGAAAGCATATAAACATGTTTTATTAAATTCTTTTAACAAAATTTAAGTTTTTTAAAAAAAATATATATACTTCCCCGGCTTAAAAATGTTAAATTTAAAGCAAAAAATGTTGCCACAGTTTTTTTTACCATTTTAATAATAGTTAGAAGGTTAATTTAGGGAATATTATAAAGAAACCTGAATTCCCAATACCAGAGGAAAAAATCTCCTCAAGTGGGGATTTTCGAAAAACATTTGGGAATGAAAATTTTTATGTTTTTAAAAAGAAAAATTGAAGTTTAAGCGATTAAAATTGAGAAAAAATAAGTTTTAATAAAAAAATACACTTCCCCGGCTAAAAAAAAAGTTTCCCCAGTTTTGAAAATTTGTGAATTTTGAAAGAAATTAAAATTGTTTAAGCTTTATTAAGAGTTTTTGGTTAATTTAAAGAATTTTACCAAGAAACTTGAATTCCCAAGTCCAAGGGAAAAATCTCCTTAAGATTTTGGAAAAAGTTTTTGGAATTCAAATTTTTTTGTGAAATTCGCTGAAAAATTTTATTTTTTTATGATTTAAACAATAATTTGTATAAAATTTACGTTTTCTGCTAAAATAAATGAGGTTTTTAAAAATTGCGTTTCTGTATGATTTAAATTATATTTTTTAAAAGATTTTTACAACATTTTTAAACTTGAAATGTCAATTTTATTGAAAGAATTGTGACAATATTTATTTATTACTATGAACATAAAAATTTCGTGTAAATTTTTTTTAAGGCGCAGAAAAACGCAAAACATTTAAAAACCCGCTTTAAATTTAGTTAATGAAGGCAAACAGGAACTGATTAATGCTCATTTTTGATCTGCATTTTAGAGAGAGATAGAAAAAAAAAATAGTTGTTACACATTTGATTTTATGATAAACAATAACAAAAAAGATTTTGTTAATTAATTTAATCTAAAAATCATTTCTATTTTTAAGAAAATAAAAATTTTAACAAAATACATAAATCAAAATTTTTTATTTAATAATTGCCGCCTTAATTACTAAAGATTATTATTTAAGAAAAAAACGCACACATGACATTGTTTTTGTGGGTTTTTTTTAAAGAACAACAACAACATCAAAACAAAATTTCTGTTAAATTGTCACGTGCCGTCGCTGGTTTAAACGATAGCGTGAGCCAGCTTCATACAGCTTCCCCTTTTTTTGTAAAACGGTACGTGTTTTATTAAATAATACAAGCACAATATAAGAAATTTTTAATTCCCGAAAAAATTACCAAAATCCCAACTGGGGAAACTTATTTTTTCACCAAACTTGTTTATTTTAAAGCTAGAAATAAACTAAATCAATTTCCCATTCCAAAAAAATTATTCCCAAACAATTTTCAAAAATCCCCACTTGAGGAGATTTTTAACAAAAAATAGGAATTTAATTTTCTTAATAAAAATCAGAGATTTATTAAGCAGACTATCAATTAAAGCAATAAAAACTAAAATTCATAAAAAAAAAATCAAAAATTTCCCAACTGGGGAAACCTAAATTTAACGGGGAAGTGGTATTTCTTTAAAAAATTTTGAAATTTTTTATGTCAAATAAAACTATATAAATTTCTCTTTCTAAAAACCCAAAAATTTTCAAAAATCCCCACATGAGGGGATTTTTAACAAAAAAATAGGAATTTAATTTTTTTAATAAAAATCAGAGATTTATTAAGCAGACTATAAATTAAAGCAATAAAAACCAAAATTCCTAAGAAAATTTCAAAAATTTCCAACTGGGGAAACTTAAATTTAACGGGGAAGTGGTATTTCTTTAAAAAATCTTGAAATTTTTTATGTCAAGTAAAACTACATAAATTTCACTTTCTAAAAATCTAAAAAAATTCATTCCCAAACAATTTTAAAAAATCCCCTTTTAGGAGATTTTCTTTAAAGAATATAGGAATTTAAGTTTCTTTTTAAAAATCGAAGATTTATTAAGAAAACTATCAGTTAAAGTCATAAAAGCTAAAATTCCTAATATTTAATGAAAAAATCCCTTACAAATTTCTTTAATTAACGGGGAAGTGGAATTTTCTTCAAAAAATCTTGAATTTTTAATTTCAAATAAAAATACATAGATTTCACTTTCTAAAAATCTAAAAAAAATCATTCCCAAACTATTTTTAAAAATCCCCTATTAAGAAATTTTCTTTAACGAACTTAGGAATTTAATTTTCTTTTTAAAAATCAAATATTTATTAAGAAAACTATCAGTTAAAGTCATAAAAACTAAAATTCCTAATATTTAATGAAAAAATTCCATAAAAATTTTAGGAATTTAAAACTGGGGAAGCTTAAATTTACCGGGAAAGTGGTATTTCTTTAAAAAATCTTTAAATTTTTTATGACAAATAAAACTACATGAAATTGACTTTCTAAAAATCGAAAAAAATTCATTCCCAAACTATTTTTAAAAATCCCCTATTAAGAGATTTTCTTTAAAGAATTTAGGAATTTAATTTTCTTTTTTAAAATTAAAGATTTCTTAATTTAAAAAAAGTTAAAATCATAAAAACTAAAATTCCTAATATTTAATGAAAAAATACCTTACAAATTTCAGAAATTTAAAACTGGGAAAACTTTAATTTAACGGGGAAGTGGTATTTTTAAAAAAAATCTTGAAATTTTTTATTGAAAATAAAAATACATAATTTTTTATAGGGAAATAAGCAAAAATTTCAATTCCCAAATGATCTTGGGAAATACCCATTTGAGGAGATTTTTTTATAAAAAATTAGGAATTTCGATTTCTGTAGAAATTTTGTAAATTTATTAAGTAATTTATTATTTATAGCAATAAATATTAAGATTTTTAATAATTTATGAAAAAATGTCTTAAAATTGTTAGAAAATTAAAACTGGGGAAATTTAAATTTAACGGGGAAGTGGTATTTCTTTAAAAAAACTTTAAATTTTTTATTTTATACAAAAATACATACGATTTGGTGGATTTATAGGCAAAAATTTTGATTCCCAATTGTCTTTTTAGAAATCCCCATATGAGGAGATTTTTTAAGAGAAATTGGGAATTTAAATTTTTTGTGAATTTTGTTAATATAAAGTAAAAATTTAAGTTTTATTCAAGAAATTGTTAGTTTGTTTTAGAATAAGGTGAAAATTATGTGTTTTGAACTTATAAACGTGTTATTTTTATAGTTTTTTTTTTTTTTTTTTTTTTTTTGTATTTGATTAAGTAATAGTTATTTTTGTTGTAACATAATACCTTAATAATTTTTTTAATGCTTTTGTTTTTTTATTCTATTTACAGCTTTATACACAATTAGCTGTTGCTGCTAGTTAACTATTAACTTTAAAATTTGTTGGTTAAAGTAAAACTTAACTAAAGTTTTAATAAATTTTTTCCCCCTTTTTTGGAACGAATTTTTCTTTTTTCTTTTGCGGATTACGCGTCGCACACGGATAAAACAAAAAAGCTACTTCATAGAATGGTAGAAGGTGACTCTCAAAATAAAGCAAGTAATAGTAAGTTTAACAAATTTTAAAAGGAATTTAAAGAACATTTTAATAAAATTTATGAAATTTTATTGCAGATTATAATGTAGAGACTGGACTACAACCAAACGATAATAATACAACTACAACAACTGTAGATAATCGCTCTATTTTACAACCTTACGGCTTGGTTACTGACTCTAAAGATCCCGGCTATCACATCAACGAGGCCTATGAGAATGATAAAAATGACGTAGAAAAAGGCGGTAATGCTGGCCGTTCTGGCGGCGGCCTTAAGGCCGGCTTTGAACAGGCCATAGAAATGTGCGGCTATGGCAAATTCCATTATATACTATTGGCCATTTGTGGTCTGGTTAGTACGAGTGAAGAAATGGATGTCATTTCGATGTCATTCATTTTGCCCTCGGCCCAATGTGATTTGAATTTGAATACGGAAACTAAAGGTTGGCTTAACTCCATCATCTTCATTGGCATGATGGTGGGTGCTTATTTTTGGGGTAGTATTGCTGATTCGATGGGCCGTAAGAAAGTACTGATTGTTATATCGTTTATGAATGGTTTTTGCATTGTCGCCTCGTCATTTTCGCAAACTTACGAATGGTTTATGCTGTTTCGATTTTTGAATGGTGCTGCGTAAGTATTTTGAAATGAATCATTTTTAGTTGTTGTTAATTGTTTTAAATAACAAATCTTTTTTCTGAATTCTCAAGTATTTTAAAGTGTTTATGTTAATTGATTTGCTAAATTTTACAACAAAAAAAGTGTGCCGTGTTACCCTTAACAAAAAAGTAACACCTTTTAATTATTACAGCCGCTATTTAACAACATTTTGTTTATTTGAACTAAAAATGAAAAAACAAATTTTTCATAAAATTCCCCTAATTTCACAATTTTCTTTAAAAAAAGTTAAAATTTTCCTTGAAATTTGAAAATTTTTGCAAAATTTTCCTTTCCTCAAACTCAATGACATTTATTTAACAATATACCTTCAAAAAAATAAATTCCCAAATTCCAAAGAAAAAATCCCCTCAACCAGGATTCATATAAAATCCTTTAATTACTCCCAAAACCACATAAAACCATCTAAATTTTAATTATTTCACTCCTCCACTAAAATTTTCAACAAATCTCCTTAAAACATTAAATTCCCAATTTCCAGGGGAAATATTTTCCCAAAAAAGTCTCCCCCCAAAATTTCAAATTTCCTCTTAAAATTAATAATTCACGCAAATATTCTTAAATTAAAAACCTCCAAAACAATTTTTAACCAAATTTCCTCAACAAATTAAATTCCCAAAAACTTTACGAAAATCCCCCAAACCAAAATTTTAAAAAATCTAAAATTTTCCTTATGGCCTTAATTTAAAACGCCTTAATACTTGATTTTAAACAAAATACCTTAAAAAATCAAATTCCCAAATTTTTACAAAAAATCTCCTCAAACGGCGATTTCTTAAAAACATTTAGGAATTGAAATTTTTGCTTATTTCACTACCAAAACTAATGTACTTTTATTTGCAATAAAAAAATTCAAAATTTCTTGAACAAATCCCACTTCCCCGTTAAATTTAGGGTTCCCCAGTTTTAAATTTCTTAAAATTTTAAAAGATTTGTTCATAAATTATTAAAAATCTTAAGTTTTATTGCTAACAATAAAAAAATTCTTAATAAATTTTCAAAATTTCTAAAGAAAACTAAATTACCAATTCCTTATAAAAAATCTTCTCAAAAGGGTATTTCTGAAAAAGATTTGGGAATTGAAATTTTTGTTTATTTCCCTACAAAAGCTTAGGTATTTTTATTTTCAATAAAAAAAATCAAGATTTTTTGAAGAAAATTCCACTTCCCCTTAAATAAAGTTTCCCCAGTTTTAAACTTTTGGAAATTTTAAGGGATTTTTTTATAATTATTAAGAATCTTAAGTTTTATTGCAAAAAATAATAAATTACTTAATAAATCTTCAAAATTTCTAAAGAAAACTAAATTCCAAATTCCTTATAAAAAATCCCCTCAAATGGGCATTTTTAAAAAACGTTTGGGAATTGAAATTTTTGCTTATTTTGATACAAAAACTAATGTTTTTTTATTTGCAATAAAAAAGTTAAAGATTTTTTAAAGAAATCCCACTTCCCCTTTAAATTTATGGTTCCCCAGTTTTAAATTTTTTAATATGTTAAGGGATTTTTACATAAATTATTGGAAATTTTAGTTTTTATGACTTTAACTGGTAGTTTTCTTAATAAATCTGTCATTTTTATTAAAAATTTAAATTCCTACAAACTTTAAAGAAAATCTCCTAATAGGGGATTTTTGAAAATTGTTTAGGAATGAATTTTTTTAGGTTTTTGGAAAGAAAAATAAATGTATTTTTATTTGAAATAAAAAAATTTAAGATTTTTTGAAGGAATTCCACTTCCCCGCTAAATTTAAGTTTCCCCAGTTTTAAAATTTCTTAAATTGTTATGGGAATTTTAAGTTTTTACAAGTATAAATAACATTTTACTGTTTAAATCAATAAAATTTCTAAAAAATTCTGAATTCCCAATTTCATATAAAAAATTTCCGTAAAAGAGTATCTCTGAAAAACATTTGAGAATTAAAATTTTTGCTTATTTCCCTACAAAAACTAATGTATTTTTATTTGCAATTAAAAAAAAATCAAGATTTCTTTAAGTAATCCCACTTCCCCGTTAAATTTAAAACGCTTAAAAACGTCTTTATATGGGCAAGAAGACAAAATACATTAAAATCTCACAATTTCCTTCCTTAATCTTTCCCTTTATTTGTTTGCCAACAAAACAAACAACTTTTGTTATTTATTTAGCATTGAAGAAAAAAATACCAAGACGCATTTAAATAAGTATTTACAATTAATTTAATTATTATTTAAAAATAAAATACAATTTCCCCAACGAATTTGAATACGTATGTTAATGAAGTTAATAAAAGACCAGCAGCCAAGCAAAACCATGTCCATCCAGTTTTATAAAAAAGGGTTATAATTTGTTAATTTATTTAAGAAATTAACTAGAATGAATCATTTAAAAGCTATTTGGTTGATTAAAGTGTAGCTGAATTGTTCTTAGAAGTAATTCAGCTAAAGATTGTGCTATAAAATTTATTTAACTGGATGTCTTTGGGCATATATTGCCAATTCAGCTAAGCTGAATAGCTTTAAGCACTAATTCAGCTAGTTATTTTACGGCTTAATTGCTTTTAAATGTAATTTAGTTAATTTTTATTCAGCTGAATGGCTTTTATATATAATTCAGCTACGTATTTTGCTGGTTAATTGGTTTTAAGTCTAATTCAGCAACTTTTTAATGCAATTCAGCTACTTTTTATATAGCTGAATTGCTTTTGTTATCAATTCAGCTACTTTTTATGCAGCTAAATTACTTTAAAATGTAATTCTGCTACTTATTTAGCAGCTTAATTCCATTTAAATCTAATTCTGCTACTTATTTTCTAGCTGAATTACTTTTAAATGTAATTCAGCTAGTTTTTATGCAGATGAATTGTATTAATATCTAATTCAACTACTTATCATTCAGCTGAATTGCTTTTAAATGTAATTCAGCTACTTATTTTCCAACTAAATTGCTTTTAAATGTAATTCAGTGACTTATTTCCCAGCTGAATTACTTCTAAATGTTATTTTAGCTAATTTTTATGCAGCTGAATTGCATTAATATCTAATTCAGCTACTTATTATTCAGCTGAATTGCTTTTAAATGTAATTCAGCTACTTATTTTCCAGCTGAATTGCTTTTAAATGTAATTCAGCTTCTTATTTTTAAGCTTAATTACTTTTAAATCCAATTCAGCTACTCGTCATTCAGCTGAATTACTTTTAAATGAAACTCAGCTCCTTATTATTCAGTTAAATTGCTTTTAAATGTAATTCAGCTACTTATTTTCCAACTAAATAGCTTTTAAATTTAATTCAGCTACTTATTTCCAAACTATATTGCTTTTAAATATAATTCAGCTACTTCTAATGCAGCTGAATTGCCTTAATATCTAATTCAGCTACTTCTAATGCGACTATATAACCCTAATCTCTAATTCAGCCACTTATAATGCAGCTGAATTACTTCTAAATCTAACTTAGCTACTTCTAATGCAGCTGAATTACTTCTATATCTTATTCAGTTACTTCTAAAGCAGCTGAATTGCTTTAATTTCTAATTCAGCTCGTTCCAACTTAGCAGAATTGTTTATATTTTCTATTTAACAACTTTCCTTACATCTGAATAGCTTATATTTCTAATTCAGCTCGTTTTAATGTTGCTGAATTACCATTATACTTTATACAGCTAGCTTTCTCGCAGCTGAATTGTTTTCATTTTGAATTCAGCTAGATTTAATACTGCTGAATTGCTTTTATCTCTAATTCCGCTACTTCTAATACAGCTGAATTACTTCCATCTTCAATTCAGCTCGTTTTAACGCTGCTGAATTGCTTTTATGTGTAATTCAGCTAAATTTCTTGCAGCTGAATTGCTTCATTCTGTAATTCCCGAACATTTTCTTTAGCTGAATTGTTGAAATCTCTAATTCAGCTAAATTTTTTGCAGCTGAATTGTTTTAATCTTTTAATTAAGAACTTTGAAAGCTGCTGAATAGCATTAAACTCAAATAAACAGCTGAATTGCTTTCATCTCTTAACTAACCTTGTTCTCCTTTTCTCTTCTTTCCAGCCTTGGTGGTAGCGGTCCTGTCATCTGGTCCTATTTCGCCGAATTTCAACCTAAATCGAAACGCGGTTCCATGTTATCCTTCATGGCCGCCTTCTGGACATTTGGTAATCTATTTGTGGCCGGCTTAGCCTGGCTCATCATACCAACTGGCATTGGTTTTGTCACTCCTCTCTTCACCTACAACTCATGGCGTATCTTTTTGATGACCTGCTCCATACCCTCCTTCATTGTGGCCTTTTTACTCTTCTATTTGCCCGAATCACCTAAGTTCCTGTTGTCCAAGGGTAAACAGGATAAGGCTATGGCTATATTCCGTGGTATTTTTGTGACCAACACTAAGAAACCAGCTGAATTGTATCCGGTAACCGAATTGGATATTGATGAGAAACTATTGGCTGAGATCAAGGAAAATCGTGAAAGTATTAAGGGCAAATATGCTAAAATGTTATCGGGCATGGTGGATCATAGTAAACAATTGTTTACTTCACCTATTTTGAAGTTTACCTTGGTCTCCATTACTATTAACTTCACTTTCCATATTGGTTATTATGGTTTGATGATGTGGTTCCCGGAATTGTTTAATCGTTTCGAGGAGTATAGCACCAATTTCCCCAACAATCAAACGGCTGGTGTGTGTACTGTGACCAAATATGTGGTGGATAAAATTGCCCATGAGGATGCTGTCTGCTCTTCCCATATTCCCTCCGCCGTTTTCATGGAATCCTTGATCTCTTTGGCTTCTGCTTTGCCCGCCAATTTGATTGCCATTTTGGGCATGGATTTATTGGGTCGTAAATTCTTTTTGATCTTTGGTACCATGACCGCTGGTGTCTGTTCCGCTGCCATGTACTTTGTCTACAATTCCACCCAGAATTTAATAGTATCGGCTGTGTTTAGTGGTGCCATTTCTGCCGCCAATGCTGCCCTAGATTGTTTGATTACTGAGGTCTTCCCCACTCATCTGCGTGCCACTGGTGTGGCTATTTCTATGGTAGCTGCTCGTATGGGTGGTATTATTGGTAATATTGTAATAGCTACTTTATTGGATCAATATTGTCCGGCTCCTACGTTTATTGTGGCTGTGCTGCTTATGGGTGGTGGTCTGATGTGTCTATTGCTGCCCAATACCACCAAAAAAGAATTGAATTAATCGAGAGCAGCTGGGGTTGCTATTACGAGAGTTTAAGTCATAAATATACTCAAACAAAAAAATTACACTTACACACACAGTTTCCTTTTCCCCTTAATCCTTTCCCTCAACAAATAACACTTATCCCTACACTTACACACACACACACTTCCACTCTTCTCCTTAAGTAATTTTAACAAAATTTTCTGTTTTACTTTTTTTGTTTTGAAATAATTATGATTGATTGATTGATGATGATGATGTTTAGTTGGTTAGTTGAGCCTTTCCTTTTCTAGTTTTCTTTTCCTTTTTGTAATTTCTTTAATTAAATAACTACCACTATATTCTTATAGTGTGTTTTGCTAATGCCGGCTCCAAATTCTTACACCATTTGGTATTTTTTTTTAATAAAAATGTATTTTTATTTTTTTGTTCTTTTAATTTTAGGTAAATGTTGTAAATTTCTATTTATATAGAAATATTATGTAAAATATTGTATTAATTATAAACCACAAACTAATGTATTGTTAATAATTTAATAAAAATAAAAAAGAGTTAAAAATAAAGAAAAAAGTCTTTAAATTCTATCGAGAAATTCTTAGGAAAATGTCCCCGAATGCTTTAAAATTCCATTCAGCTACTCTAAAGGCTGCTGAATTGCTTTAATATTTAGCAACTTTTAAGGTAGCTGAATACCATTAATCCTTAATTTAGCAAATTATAATGCTGCTGAATTGTTTAAATATCTTATTCAGCCGCTTCTAAGTTAGCTGAATAGCTTGCATATCTTATTCAGCTAATTACAAAGCTCCTGAATTGCTTAATATTTCATTCAGCTACTTCTAAAGAAGCTAAATATAATTAATCCTTAATTCAGCAACTTCTAATGCTGCTGAATTGCTATAATATCTCATTCAGCCATTTTGAAGGCAGCTGAACAGCCTGGGTCTGTTATTCAGCTAATTATAATTCCGCTGAATTGCTTTAATAATTCATTCAGCTACTTTTAAGGCAGCTGAATTGCTTTAATCATTAATTCAGCAGCTTACAATACTGATGAATCCTTTAACATGTAATTCTGCTACTTTTATTACTGCTGAATTGCTTTAAAATGTAATTCAGCTCCTCGAAGTTTAGCTGAATTGCTTTTATTTTTAATTCAGCTTCAAAAAACGCAGCTGAATTGCTTTAATATTTCATTTAGCTACTTTTAATGCTGCTGAATAACCCTAATATGAAATACAGCTACTTATTTTATAGCTGAATTGCTTTTATTTTCAATTCAGCTAGTTATAATGCAGATGAACAGCTTTAATACTTATTTCAGCTACTTTTATTTTAGCTGAATTGCGTTTATTTGAAATTTAGCCTCTAATAATGCAGCTGAATTGCTTTAAAATCTAATTAAGCTATTTATAATGCAGCTGAATTAGTTAAAATTTGTATTTTGTTACTTATTTTTCAGCAGTATTGCTTTAATCTTTAATTCAGTTACATATAATACAGCTGGATTGCATAAATCGTTAATTCAGCTACATATAATGCAGCTGAATTGCCCTTATCTTCAATTCAGCTACATTTTTTGCAGCTGAATTATTATATTCTTCAAGTCAGCTACTTATAATTCAATTAAATTGCTTTAATCATTAATTCAGCTACTTTTTCTGCAGCTGAATTACTAAACTCATCAATTCAGCTTCTTTTTCTGCAGCTGAATTGTTAAAATCTTTAATTCAGCTACTTTTTCTGCAGCTGATTTGCTGAAATCTTCAATTCAGCTACTTTTTCTGCAGCTGAATTGCTGAAATCTTCAATTCAACTACTTCTTTAATTATTGAATTGCTTTAATATTTATTTCCCCAGCTTATAAAGCAGCTGAATTGCTTATTTCTTCAATTCACCTACTTCTCTTGCTGCTGAATTACTTTATTCTTCGATTCAGCTACTTCTCTTGCTGCTGAATTGAATTATTCTTCAATTCAGCTACATTTCCTGCAGCTGAATTACTTCAAACCTCAATTCAGAGGCTTAATTTGTAGCTGAATTACTTCATATTTCAATTCAGCTACTTACAATGCAGCTGAATTGCTTAAACTTCTATCTCATCTACTTATTTTACAGCTAATTTCTTTAATCTATAATTTAGCTAATTTTTCTTGTAGTCTAATTGCTTTAAACTTCTGATCTCTTTGTAATTTTGCAGAATTTTCCGAATTACTAACAAGCTTAATAATATTTAGTAAATTTTCTTAGCATCTGTTATATATAAATAACTCAAGTCATAATCACTTACCGTTTCTGTTCTCCCAGTAATTGTATCAAAACTTTCTTAACTGTTCTTTTTCTCTTCACTGTTATCTTGAAATTACAAAAAACTTTAAAACTTCTGCTCTCCTGTTAATCCCAAACGATAATTCTATCAATAATCTTGATTAATACTGAACTCCTGTTAGATTAAGTCTATTTCTGGCACTCCTGATAATCAAGCACGAACACTGTTTCAAATAGTTTTAAATAATTATGTTCGCCTAGTAGATTTGTATTTCAATAATACCGCTCTCCTGGTATTAAGAAAGAAAACAAATGATCTTAAAACATTTCTGCATTCCTGTTAGGAAATTTTCAATACTTATGCTTTCCTGGTAGTTCTTGATAAATATTTCAGCATTTCTGCTCGCTTGCTAATCACAAACGAAAACTTTTTCAACATTCTTATTTATTCTGATCGCCTGTTAGGTTTACAATATTATTTCAATAATTCTGCTCTCCTAGTAATCAGAAACAAACAAATTTTATAATAATTTAAAAAAATTTTCTGAACTCCTGGTAGACTTACAACAATATTTTAATAATTGAGATCTCGAAGTTTTAGATTATTATTAACATTACTTCTGCTCTGATGTATTTTTAAAGAAATCGGCACGCCTGATAGATTTACATTATCATTTCAATTCTCCTGCACTCGTAGTAATGAGTAGCGATAAAGTTTACATTAAATTTTGAATAATTCTTAACTCCTGGTATGTTTACCAATATTTCATAAACTCCTTTACTTTTGCTAAATAGATTTACAGTAACAGTTAAATAATTCTGTTCTCCTGGTAATCGGACATGAAAACTGTTTCAATATTCTTAAATAATTCTGCTCGCCTGTTAGGTTTACAATATTATTTCAATACAGTTGCTCTCCTAGTAATAAAAAACGAAAAATTTATAATTAAATTATAAGAAAATTCATTAAACTTCCATTAATATTTCAATACTTATCTGCTCTCCTGGTAAGGAACATCAATAAATTTTACCATAATCTTAAATAATGCTGCTTGCCTGTTGGATTTTTAATATTTTCTTGTTAGATTTTGAGTATTTTTGGCAATATTTCTGCTCTCTGGGTAGATTTATATAATTATTTACCATATTTCTGCTCTTCTGTTAATCAGAATTGATAAACTTCTTAATAAAACTTAAATACTTTTGCTCTCATAGATAAATTTTTAGATAAATTTTAATACTTTTTTGCTCTTTTGCTAGGATTTTGTCTATTATTTGCAATACTTCTGGATGCCCTGATAGATTGAGATTATCATTTGAAATGCTTCTGCTCTCCTGTTAAACAAAATTTACTTCTGCTTTCTTGAAAGATTTTAAGGAAAATGTTAATAGTTTTTGCTCGGCTGGTAGATTTTTACTATAATTTGCAATTTTCTGATCTCCTGGTGGATTTTTTAATACTTTTTGCTAGACTGCTAGCTTTTGACTATTATTTGTAATACTTCTGCTCTCCTGCTAGCTTTTGGCTATTATTCGCAATACATATATCTGCTCTTCTGTTAAACAGTATAGAGAAAATTTCACAATTTTAATTATTTCTGCTCTCCTGGTAGTTTGATAATAATATTTTAATAATTCTGTGCTCCTTTTTGTTAATTACATTACTCCTGCTAGTTCGACAATAATATTTGTGTAATTCTGCGCTCCTGCTACCTTAATATATACATTTTTCTGCTCTCCTGTTAGATTGACAATAATATTTGAGTAATTCTGCTCTCCTGCTATCTTCATATCTCAATTTTTCTGTTTTCCTGCTACCTTAATATAACAATATTTCTGCTTGTCAGATTTAGTTAATTTCATTACTCCTGGTAGTTTGACAATAATATTTGAGTAATTCCGCTCTCCTGCTAACTTAATATATCAAATTTTCTGCTTTTCTGTTTGATTTAGTTAATTTCATTACTACTGGTAGTTTGACAATAATATTTGAGTAATTCTGCTCCCCTGTTACCTTAATATTTAAATTTTTCTGCTCTCCTGTTAGATTTTATTAATGTCATTACTCCTGGTAGTTTGACAATAATATTTGAGTAATTCTGCTCTCCTGCTAGTTTAAATATCAATACTTCTGTTTTCCTGTTAGATTTCGCTAATTTCATTACTCCTGGTAGTTTGATAATAATATTTGAATAATTCTGCTCTCCTGCTACCTTAATATAACAATATTTCTGCTTTTCAGTTAGATTTTGTTAATTTCATTACTTCTGCTCTCCTGGTAACTAAAGCTAATACAATTTTCTTATAATTTGATACAAATTTAAGTTATGCTTATACTAATAGATGTACTGTTGTCCTGTTATCACAAAAATATTACAAATTTCTTAAATCCTAATACATTTTAAAATTAAAAATTTCTGAATTTTTTTTTTTTTTAATTTTTCTTACGTTTTTTTGGCAACTTTTTGCCTTAATTAAACAACATTTTTGTTTTTATTATTTTTTTTTAATTTTTATACAATTTAATTTATTTTTTTTTAATTTTTTTGTTTCTTTAAAGATTTTTTGTTTAATTTTTTTTTTGTATTTTTCTTGGTTTTTTAAATATATTTTAAGAGAAAACTATTTACATTATATTTTTTTTAATTTAAAGCAACGAAGACCATGAAATTTGTTTATAATTTATAGCCTAGGAAAATAAAGTTTTAAAGAGAGAGAGAGAGAGAGTTAAAGACAAGAGAATAAAATGTGGCCAAGGCAGGGTGAGGGCATAAGAAGTTGTAATTTAAAATTGTTTTTTTTTTTAAGCAACAAATTTAAAATTAATTTTAAAAGAAAAATATTAAAAATTAAAAAAAATCCTGTTTTTTTAAAAAATAAAGTCAAGTACTTAAAAAATAAAAAAAAATTTAAATGTTAAAAAAGAGAAAATAATTAAAATTACTTATAAAAACAATAATAGTAATAAGATAAGTGGTAGTAGTAAAAGAAGAAAAAAAATTAATAATAATAAAATATGTTTTAAGCTTTAATTTAAGTTTCTTTTGTTTGCTTTTGCTTAATTCGCCAGTTTTTTTTAATAACAAATTTTATTCTAAATCACTTGGTTTTTGCTAAATAATTTTCGAAATAATTTAAATTTAAATAATGCTAAGCATTAATGAGTTATTTAAAGGACCTGCGCAGCTCAATTTGAGTTTAAATATTTATAACATTTAATTTTAATAAACCACCAAAGTTTCTTAACCAAGTGATTTTTTCTTTTTTAACTTTCAAATTTTTTTCATTTTCTAATTTCAGGTTTTAAAATTCTTTTTCTTTTGTTATGTTTTTAAAAAGGACCAAAAAAAACTTATTAATTGTTGTAATAATAATTAATATTTTTGTTGGCGTTTTGTTGTATTTGTTTTTTTGTTTAATAACTATTATATTTTGTTTTATATTTAAGTTTTTTTTTTAGATTTTTTTTGGGGTTTTTTGTTTGTTTTTTTTTTTATAGTAAAATGTGTGGTTTCTGTTTAAATTATTATTTTTGTTGTTTTTTTATAATTATAATGAATTTCTTTTGAATTTATTACCACTACATCGCTTACGAGCCGTTGATGGAATATCTCGTCATTCCAAATATTCCCACCAATCTTTTTCATAGCCCTCATGTACATGATCTAAAAGTACTTTACGCCTTTTTTCACAGTATCTGCCAGAAAAAAGAAAAAAAATTAAAATTTTTCTTTTTATATTAAAAGATTTATTTTACTTACCTGTATTTATCTTGAACTTTTTGTTTAATATCAGCTAAATTTTCTGATGTTATATCACGTTCCAAATATTCTGATAATTTTTCAGTGGCAGATTCTAAATCTTTTTGATTATCTTCGAATATCATTGATTGATTGTTCTTTTTCAAATAATACGCAAAAACATACGTATACATGAGTGTTTGACGGCATTGGCATAAAATATCAACGGCCTTTTTCAAAAATTGCACCTGGAAGAGTAAAAGTCGAAAAATCAATTAACAAAAGACCCCAAAAAGCTAGATAAATTACTAGTTATACTAGACAGTAGACTAGGTTAAGGATTAGACTATCGAGTAGACTATAGACTAGACCATAGACTAGACTACAGACTAGACTATATACTAGGCTATAGACTAGACTATAGACTAGACTATATACTAGACTATAGACTAGTCTATAAACTAGACTATAGACTAGACTATAGAATAAACTACAAACTAGACTATAGAATAGATATTAAAGTAGACTATGTACTAGACTATAGAGTAGATTATAGACTAGACTACAGACTAGACTATAGACTAGACTATAGACTAGACTATAGACTAGACTATAGACTAGACTATAGACTAGACTATAGACTAGACTATAGACTAGACTATAGACTAGACTATAGACTAGACTATAGACTAGACTATAGACTAGACTATAGACTAGACTATAGACTACACTATAGACTAGACTATAGACTAGACTATAGACTAGACTATAGACTAGACTATAGACTAGACTATAGACTAGACTATATACTAGACTATATACTAGACTATAGACTAGACTATAGACTAGACTATAGACTAGACTATAGACTAGACTATAGACTAAACTATATACTAGACTATAGACTAGACTATAGACTAGACTATAGACTAGACTATAGACTAGACTATAGACTAGACTAGACTATAGACTAGACTATAGACTAGACTATAGACTAGACTATAGACTAGACTATAGACTAGACTATAGACTAGACTATAGACTAGACTATAGACTAGACTATAGACTAGACTATAGACTAGACTATAGACTAGACTATAGACTAGACTATAGACTAGACTATAGACTAGACTATAGACTAGACTATAGACTAGACTATAGACTAGACTATAGACTAGACTATAGACTAGACTAGACTATAGACTAGACTATAGACTAGACTATAGACTAGACTATAGACTAGACTATAGACTAGACTATAGACTAGACTATAGACTAGACTATAGACTAGACTATAGACTAGACTATAGACTAGACTATAGACTAGACTATAGACTAGACTATAGACTAGACTATAGACTAGACTAGACTAGACTATAGACTAGACTATAGACTAGACTATAGACTAGACAATAGACTAGACTATAGACTAGACTATAGACTAGACTACAGACTAAACTATAGACTAGACAATAGACTAGACAGTAGACTAGACAGTAGACTAGACTATAGACTAGACTATAGACTAGACTATAGACTAGACTATAGACTAGACTATAGACTAGACTATAGACTAGACTATAGACTAGACTATAGACTAGACTATAGACTAGACTATAGACTAGACTATAGACTAGACTATAGACTATACTATAGACTAGACTATAAGCTAGTCTATAGTCTAGTCTATAGACTAGACTATAGACTAACTATAGACTAACTATAGACTAGACTATAGACTAGACTATAAGCTAGACTATATACTAGAATATAGACTAGAATATAGATTAGACTATAGACTAGACTATAACTAGACTATAGACTAGACTATAAACTAGATTATAGACTAGACTATAGACTAGACTAAAGACTAGACTATAGACTAGACTATAGATTAGACTATAGACTAGACTATAACTAGACTATAAACTAGACTATAGACTAGACTATAGACTAGACTATAGACTAGACTAAAGACTAGACTATAGACTAGAATATAGACTAGACTATAGACTAACTATAGACTAGACTATATAATAAAATACAGACTAGCCTATAGAATAGATATTAGAATGGACTATAGACTAGACAGTAGGCTGGACTATAGACTAGATCATAGACTAGACTATAGACTAGACTATAGACTAGACTATAGACTAGACTATAGACTAGACTACTAGACTAGACTACTAGACTAGACTATAGACTAGACTATAGACTAGACTATAGACTAGACTATAGACTAGACTATAGACTGGACTATAGACTAGACTATAGACTAGACTATAGACTAGACTATAGACTAGACTATAGACTAGACTATAGAGTAGACTATAGGCTAGACTATAGACTAGACGATAGACTAGACGATAGACTAGACTATAGACTAGACTATAGACTAGACTATAGACTAGACTATAGACTAGACTATGGACTAGTCTATGGACTAGACTATAGACTAGACTATAGACTAGACTATAGACTAGACTATAGACTAGACTATAGACTAGACTATAGACTAGACTATAGACTAGACTATAGACTAGACTATAGACTAGACTATAGACTAGACTATAGACTAGACTATAGACTAGACTATAGACTAGACTATAGACTAGACTATAGACTAGACTATAGACTAGACTATAGACTAGACTATAGACTAGACTATAGACTAGACTATAGACTAGACTATAGACTAGACTATAGACTAGACTATAGACTAGACTATAGACTAGACTATAGACTAGACTATAGACTAGACTATAGACTAGACTATAGACTAGACTATAGACTAGACTATAGACTAGACTATAGACTAGACTATAGACTAGACTATAGACTAGACTATAGACTAGACTATAGACTAGACTATAGACTAGACTATAGACTAGACTATAGACAAAACTAGAATATAGACAAGACTAAACGCTAAACATCTTTATAAACATAAATTTTTACTCACTTCAATCCATGACATATTATGTTGTTGCATTTCTTCCATTTTATGTTTAACAGAGGCATACAATTTATTTTCAAATTTTAAAGATTGCATATGATTCATATAACGATTATAATAATGTAAATATCTGAAAATAAAAACAGAAAATCATTTTTATATCAAAGTTAAAACCAATTTAAAAAACATACAAATAAATTAATACAAAATAAAACATCTCAACTACCTTGCTAATGATGATCTAAATTTCTCTTGAGCATGACGTGCTGCTTTGGCTTCATCTTCATCGTAACGATTGCAATTGTACCATGACGAACCATGCGGCTCCCATGAACCCAAACAAACCCAACAGAAATCATGTTTACAATTTTGATTCTTGCAGACCATATGATTACAGCCGCCGTCTTTTTCAATCGTTACATTGCACTTGGGACACTCTTTGGTGTTGGCCGCAATCCAATTGCTTGTCTCTGAATCATCGTCACACTTCTTAATCCACTTCTTTAACCAACGACACTTGACCGGATCGTGCCAGTTTTCGCCGCAAGCAAAACAGAATTCATGATTACATTTGCAACGCACTGGCCGTGATTCATAGTAGGCCACTTTGATTGCGTAGGTACAATCAACGGACGGACACCAGCGTAACAATTGATTGCACTCGACAAAAGAGTTTGTTATGAGTTGTTGGTATTTAACACGTACCCGGGGGTCTGTTACCAGTTTTGTTACGGTTACATCGTCCACTAAAATATCACAGCCGTGAGCTGCACACGATATCGATTGACCTAGACCTTCGGTAACGATTTTCGTTGTTAGATATTCACGCCAGCAGGTTAAGCAGAAACGATGACCGCATTCCAAACCAGCCATGGACTAAATGCACAAAAAAATATATATTTAATTAATTAACAAACTAACTTTAAGTTTATTTACTTACATCTGAGGGCAATTGTGAGAAACAAATTTCACATTCTTCTGCAGTATTTTTTGAATTCTACAAAGGGAGACGGGGAAGTTGTATAATTAAAGTTAATTTAAAGTAAATATTTGTTTAAAGTAAACCTTTTGTTTATTAGCATTGGCTGGTTTATTGAAGGGATTCACAATATGTGCCAGTTTAAATAAATCCTCTACATTGCCATCGAAATATTTTTCTAAAAGTCTTTCTTTGTCCCATTTGAAATGATTTAATAGCATTCGTGTTATGGTTGGAGGGAGCTGAAAATAAAAGAAAACAAAACATCAATTTAAACATAATTTAACTGAATAAATAAACTTAAATAGATTAGTCTGGTCTCTAGTAAAGTCTAGTTTACAGTCTAGTTTTTAGTCTAGTCTATAGTCTAGTCTATAGTAGTCTATAGTCTAGTCTAGTCTAGTCTATAGTCTAGTCTATAGTCTAGTCTATAGTCTAGTCTATAGTCTAGTCTATAGTCTAGTCTATAGTCTAGTCTATAGTCTAGTCTATAGTCTAGTCTATAGTCTAGTATAGTCTATAGTCTAGTCTATAGTCTAGTCTATAGTCTAGTCTATAGTCTAGTCTATAGTCTAGTCTATAGTCTAGTCTATAGTCTAGTCTATAGTCTAGTCTATAGTCTAGTCTATAGTCTAGTCTATAGTCTAGTCTATAGTCTAGTCTATAGTCTAGTCTATAGTCTAGTCTATAGTCTAGTCTATAGTCTAGTCTATAGTCTAGTCTATAGTCTAGTCTATAGTCTAGTCTATAGTCTAGTCTATAGTCTAGTCTATAGTCTAGTCTATAGTCTAGTCTATAGTCTAGTCTATAGTCTAGTCTATAGTCTAGTCTATAGTCTAGTCTATAGTCTAGTCTATAGTCTAGTCTATAGTCTAGTCTATAGTCTAGTCTATAGTCTAGTCTATAGTCTAGTCTATAGTCTAGTCTATAGTCTAGTCTATAGTCTAGTCTATAGTCTAGTCTATAGTCTAGTCTATAGTCTAGTCTATAGTCTAGTCTATAGTCTAGTCTATAGTCTAGTCTATAGTCTAGTCTATAGTCTAGTCTATAGTCTAGTCTATAGTCTAGTCTATAGTCTAGTCTATAGTCTAGTCTATAGTCTAGTCTATAGTCTAGTCTATAGTCTAGTCTATAGTCTAGTCTATAGTCTAGTCTATAGTCTAGTCTATAGTCTAGTCTATAGTCTAGTCTATAGTCTAGTCTATAGTCTAGTCTATAGTCTAGTTATAGTCTAGTCTATAGTCTAGTCTATAGTCTTGTCTATAGTCTAGTTTATAATCTAGTCTATAGTATATATTCTAGTCTATGGTCTACTCTATAATCTTGTGTGTCCTCTAGTCTATAGTGTAGTCTATAGTGTAGTCTATAGTGTAGTCTATAGTGTAGGCTATAGTGTAGTCTATAGTCTAGTCTATAGTCTAGTCTATAGTCTAGTCTATAGTCTAGTCTATTGTCTAGTCTATAGTCTAGTCTATAGTCTAGTCTATAGTATAGTCTATAGTCTTGTCTATAGTCTAGTTTATAATCTAGTCTATAGTATATATTCTAGTCTATGGTCTACTCTATAATCTTGTGTGTCCTCTAGTCTAGTCTATAGTCTAGTATGTCCTCTCTATAGTCTAGTCTATAGTCTAGTCTATAGTCTAATCTATAGTCTAGTCTATAGTCTAGCCTATAGTCTAGTCTATAGTCTAGTCTATAGTCTAGTCTATAGTCTAGTCTATAGTCTAGTCTATAGTCTAGTCTATAGCCTAGTCTATAGTCTAGTCTATAGTCTAGTCTATAGTCTAGTCTATAGTCTAGTCTATAGTCTAGTCTATAGTCTATAGTCTAGTCTATAGTCTAGTCTATAGTCTAGTCTATAGTCTAGTCTAGTTTGTCTATAGTCTAGTCTGTAGTCTATTCTATATTCTAGTCGAGAATATAGTCTATAGTCTAGTCTATATTCTAGTCTATAGTATACTACATATTCTAGTCTATAGTCTAGTCAATAATCTGGTCTATAGTCTAGTCTATAGTATATATTGTAGTCTATGGTCTACTCTATAGTCTAGCGTGTCCTCTAGTCTAGTCTATAGTCTCATATGTCCTCTACCTTAGTCTTATCTTGTCATTTGTTGTGATTGGTGAGTCATGACCTAATTTTAATAATAAATAATTTAAAATTAACACCTTTTTAAATAATATTTATAAAGCGTAAAGTTTCAATTATAAAAATAAATAAATAATCTAGAAAAATAAATTACAATAAAAAGTAAAAATATTAAAATATTTCTATAGAAATTTACAATGAGTCAAAGAAAAAATTTAAATAGGAAAATATAGCTGATTACAAATATTAATTATAAAAAGGTATTGCAATTTTTTTTTTGCTAAAGTTTTATGACTTTTTGGTGGAAACTAAAAAATTGTAAAGCAAAAATTGCATTTAAATGACCTTGTGGTAATAACAATAATAAAACTAAATGTAGTATTTTTCCTTTGTTAAGGTGGAGAGGAAATAAAAACAACATCAATCAATTTTTGCATTTTTATTATAAGTATTACATGCCATCATCATAGTCATCATAATGCAACAACGTCTTTCCCTAGATTTTCTTTCGTGTTTTTTTTTTAAAGCTTTTCTATAAGAATTTTTATATTGTATGGTAGAAGTGTTGTTGTTGTGATGATGGCGCGGGGTAACAGTTTGTTTCTTTTTTTAACAGCTGTATTTAGCAATTTTTTTTATGTTATAATTATTACATTGAAGGTTTTTTATTGTTTTTTAGGTTGTTAAGGGAATTGTTTTGTTATAGTAAAGAGGCAAACAAATATTCATGAAATGCATGCATGTTGTTATAGAAATACTATAATGCAAAGGCAATCTTATGTGGAATAGTTACTAAAGTAACAAACTGTAAGGAAATTCCATTTTTAGTTAATCTATTTAAACTATTTGTTAGTTTGTAGGTTTTTTATAGAATTTTTCATGTAACCGATTAAATCTATTGATTTTCTTTTATTTTTAAAAAGTAAATCTTTGAAATTCTCTTGATACAATGTTAAAACCTTCACTATAAAAGCTTTAAATACAGGATATTAAAACAATATACAGTTTTTTAGCTGCACATAATGATTAGTGAACACTAAGCAAACCCAGCAAACAATTTTTTTTACAAAATCTTGTTTAATAAAGAATTGAAAAGCTTGTCTTGACAAAAATTCAAAATAGGTTTCTTTGGGCAAAATTTTATTTTGAAAATCATTTTGTTTTTTTTTAACTTTTCAAAATGTTTGCTGGTTTACATGTAAATGGTATAGAGGGTGAACAAAACCTAATAATACTTGTATCAACACACAATATGTAAACTTAAAACAAACATACACACAAGAAAATACTAATGAAAGGAAAACAATAACGTATGAAAGGAAAAAAACAAAAATGTTATAGAATACACAAAAATCCTTGACCTAATTTTGAAATTTTTGGTTACAAACACAAGAAAGAAATGCTTTTTAAAACTAATGTAAAGAAAACAAACAAAACTTTAAAAGATTTCTAATAATTTTTAAAAATTTTGAAATAAGTTTGAGAAATCGACGTACGAATTTATATTTCTAGTTGAAAACTTAAACAAAGTTGTTTGAAATAATTAAAATACTATATTCTTCTTATCCTGATCCAATAGGAATCACATCAACTCATAATATTTCGAAAATTACAATAACAATCTCTTTTCTAATAGGAATTTTAAGAAATCTTTTCAATTTCCTTAAAAGAAATCTATCAAAAACAGTTTAAAATCTATCAATAATCTAAACATGCTCATCTTCTTAAACCTCCCTCTTTCACTTAATCCTTAAAGCTAACATTCCATTTTATATTCTTCATTTAACTTACCTTTAAAACAATTTTAACTTCATCGATTATCTCCCGTTGATGTAAAACAATTTCATCTGTTGTATAGACTTCATAATTGTACTCATCATTATCGGCTTGACGTTCGTGTACCGAAGGTATATCATCCATAGGAAAATCATCATCACCCTCATCGCCGGAAGAAACATTACCGGAATCAACATTATCTATTTCAAAGGAATCTTCATCAGAATCCATAATGAAAGAAGACTAAGGGGAGAAACTGAAAAAGCAGAAGACTGCTAGCAGCAACAGCAGCACGATAGAGAGGTAGTGTAGGAAGAGAAATAAACTAAATTCAAAAGCTGTAAGAAATAAAAAAAAACACAAATTTTATTGTTAATAATTTAAGTAGTTTTAGATGTTTTTAATTTTATACACAAATATAAACAGCTGTTTAATATAGCTTGCGAAAGCCCTTAAAAACTATACACAATACAACAAATAACCATAAATAAAAGTAAAAACAATAATACAAACGTCACTTGACCTTGTCGAATTTTTATTGTTTGTGTTTTTGTGTGTGTAAAAATGAGCTGCCTTTATAGCTAGGTCTATTGTTATTTTTGCAATAATTTTAAAGAAATTCCTTTTCTTTTTGATTTATTATCTTAAAAAATCACTTGTATAACATATTTGTTTTATATATTTATATAAAATCTACTTTTTTATTAAATAAAGTCTAATTTTTGCCACTCACACTTCCTTTGTCAAACAGAAACCTTAGGTCAATGTTTGTAAAACTACTGAGACAAGCCGCCTTTAAAAAGTAAAAAGCAACGTCGTTTAAAAAGTTGTTTACCTTAAACAAAGTTTAAAATTAAGCGTATAGTTGTTAACATTTTTTAGAATTTTTGTTAAATTAACAAAATATTACTATTATAAGACATATTTTTTACACTTTAAGCTTTTTCGCTAAGAGGATAATTTAAGCCGCCTTCATAGATTTATCTAAAGCCGTTGTTTTCTTCAAGTTTTGGCTTTTGTCAGTTTATTAGTAATGTCAATGCTAAAGTTAAAGAAAACTCGCTTAAAATTAAGGTATACAAGAAGATATTAAAAAAAAAAAAAAGAATTTGGGTTTTTAATATTGAAAATAAATTAAATTAAATTTTAAACATGTTTGGCAAAACATTTTTTAAAAATAAATTTTTATTAAAAGTATAATTTACGAAAAAACTTATGTTTGTAAAAAAGTTTAAAAAATGCTACTCACAAAATAGTAGTTAACCACACTACACTCCCTCAAGAGAAAAATAAGTAGGAAAATATAAAAAGATGTAAACAATATAACCAAAAAACAAATTTTCGTTAATAAAAAAGAGAAATAACAATAAATTGTACAAAAAATTAACTAAATAAAACAATTTTCTTAATGTTTTATAAAAAAAATTCCAATTACTCTTAAATAAACACACACACACCAGCACTCATTTATTCAAAAAAAATATACACACATAACCAACAACAAAGTTCAAGGCTATTAACACAACAAATGGGGCCAATACAAAAAAGAAACACAAACAAAATATTAAACAGCAAATAAGACCTTCATACTTTTTGCAAAATTACAAATATTATAAAATTTATTAAAAATTTAACACTTTACTTTTAATTTTAAGAAGTTTTCTTTAAAATATTTTACAAAACTTGACAATTACGAAAAGGCAGTACAAGAAAATGCATGTGTGAAAAATTGCATTATGGGAAAAAAGGGTAGAAAGAAAAGGAGAGCCTGACACAATGCAATTCGTATAATAAAGAAAACAACAACAACAATACCAATAAGAATGACATATTGGTTATACTTTTATAAAAAAAAAACACTAGTTATCTCTTTCTTTACTATGGGCAAAGAAAACTTATTGGATTTTGTAGAGCAATGGGAAAAACAAAGAAAAATAAAAATTTTTATAGAATAAAAAAAAAAAAATTGGGAAAATTTTCTGCTTTTTCCTTAAAATTTTTTAAAAAAGAAATCTACATTTTATTTAAAAAATACCCACCTTTTATGGAAAATTGTATATTTTTGTTTATTTTAATGTTATTGGTATAAATTTGTTAATAATTCGTTGCTAAAATTTTGTAATTGCGTATTTTACGTTGAAATTTTCTTTTTTCTTCAACTTTAATTCAATTTTCCTTTTAATTTGTGAACTTTTACACTTTGAAAACTAAATTTCAATTTTTAACTTTATAATTTTTTTTTCCTTTAACTAAAATTCTTTTTCTTTTAACACTTGCACGTTTTTTTTTTCATACACTGCTTTTAAAATTTTGCTTTTTATGCAATTTATTTTCTTTTTGTTATTTTGTGCAAATAATTTTTATAGCTTTTTAATTTATAAAGGAAATTTTATTTTAAACAAAAAGTACCCAAAGAAAAATTCCAGTTTTTCTCGCAACGAACGCAGCAAACTGCGACGAACTTTCTTTGTAAACTTTATAAAACAAATGATAATAAAATAGAAGAGTGTGTGTGTATGTTTGTTGTAAGGCAGAAAAAGAGAAATAGAAAATTTTTATAAAAGGAAAATATGATTAACTCTTTTTGTTCAAAAGGGAAAATGTATGAGAGTGACAGAGACAGCTAGTGTTCATTAAGACAATAAGAATTTGTGGAAAAGCAAATGAAAGAAGAAAAAACTAAAACAGAGTTGTCATGGCTATAATCACAGATGTGTTTAGTTGTTATAATGAACAGGGTTGCATTTTCATAAGCAAAGTTGTTTGAATTGTACACTAAGAGAAAATGTAATGTTAAAATGTTGAACTATTTCAAACAAAAGGGAATATTTTGGTACTTTTTATTAATAAAAAGAAATAAAAGTACTTTTTTAAATGTAATTAAACAGAAAATTTATATTTTATGTAAAAAACTCAAACAGTAATGTTTGAAATATATAAAAAATCACGTAAAAAAGTAAAATTTAGAGTATTATTCTTACGATAATTTGTTTAATATATTCAAGTAAGAAAATGACTTGCATTTTAAGAAAATTTTATAAATTCTAAATATTTAATATATTCTTTTGTAAAAATAACAATAAATTCTATATTTAATGGAATATGTGTTCTTTTTTTTTTCTTTAAAAAATTGTTCGCCTAATTAATATTCTTTAACACTATTTTTATATTTTCTTTTTAATCTATTTGAATTGTTAATTTCTTGAACTTTCTACCTTTTCTTTTATTTGTTAAACAAAAAAAAAAAAAAAAAACATCTATTTCGTCTGCGCAAAATGAAATTTCAAATGCAAAGAATATAATTAAAAATTCTAATCGCGTTTGTTTGAAATTATTTATTTTTTCTTTATTTTCTTAAAGTTAAATGATTTCCATTGTTTTACATTATGTACATACTTTTATGGTGTGTGTTTTAGTAAATAAAGATCTATCTCATTTATCAAATATTTACAACACCTTAGGGGTTATTTTCAAAAGTGCGCTATTGTAGTTGGAAGCAAAGTATATTAATAAAGTAGCGACATCTCTTGTTGTACAACAACATCCACAACAACCACATGTATTTTGTTTTTGGAATAATTTAAGATTGTGTCAAAATAAAATTTCCTTGAACAACAATGTGAACAAAACATAAAAAATATTACTTTTAAGTTAAAATTATTAACGATTTAATTATAATAATATAATTAATATAATAATTACACAATTTATTACATTTTAAAATAACTTTAAAACCACTTTTAATTCACTTTTTCAACTTTTCACAAATTTTAACAAATAGCAAAACACAATTTAAAAATGGCGACGTAAACAATGTTAACAATTTTCAAAACAAACTTTGACAACTTGCTTCATTTATCTAGTTTAAAAAAAATAGTCAGCTGTTCAAGTGATGCTACTTTATTAATTTACTTTGGTTGGAAGCTAGACAGCTGGACAGGCAGATTAAATGTTTTTCTGCAGGCCCAAGACTAGAAAACCTTGCGCAGCATGTGTTTTAAGTAAGAAAGGTCTTAATTAATTGAAAATTATGGAAAAGTCACAGACAAATACTATGTAGAAGAAAATTTCCAATTAGAAAAAGAAAATTTTGCAAAAATAGTTTTTTCTGTCTTTACAAAAATGCAATTTTTTAGACATTAAACTAAAATTTAGAAGAATAAAAAAATAACGTTACTAAAACAACAGCAACAAATGACATTCATTGTTTTCTTTTCATTTTCTTTATCTTTTGTTTTTCAAATTGTCAAACCACAAAAACATCTGGCGTATCATTTATATTTCATTTAGGTATTTATCTTACGCCAAATGTAACCATCTGGGTTTTATGTAAAACAAACAAAATCAATTAAAAACAAACTATTGTTACGATTTCTTATTACTTTCTTTCTTCTATAATTTCTTGTGTTTTACTTTTCCCCTTTGCTCACATTTTTTTAAATATTTTCTTTGTTTTTAATTAATTTACTTTTATTTTCCTTTTTCTGTCCTTTTTTTCAATTAAAATGTTTCTTTTATTTTTGCATTTATTTTATACTTTATTTTGGTTTTAATTTAATATTTACTTTTTTTTTTTTGCGTTTTTTATTATTTCATTGACTTTTTCTTTTCATTTTTCCTTTTATTTCCTTTTACTTTACTTCAGTTTCCTTAATTTTTAACCAAAAAATCAATAAATCTTTAATTTCTATTGAAAAACTGTTAAAAAATGGTGGATTTCTTGAATAACAAAACAAAATGTCATAAAAAACAACAAAAACTACGGCAAAATGCCGTTAGTTTTGGGACGGATAACAAGAGAGTGAGTATAAAAACAACAACAAAGAGTGTCGGAAAATAAACAACTGTAGCAAATACAAATGGGTAGCAAATACAAAACAAATGCAAAAAAAGTAAACAAATAAATTGCACAAGTATTGCATTATCCAGGTCTGCTAGGAAATCAAAACAAAAACACACATATTCAAACTGACAGTTAAATTTCTGGGCGGAATAACGATAATTTTCTTTTTTTTTACGAAATTTGTTAAATTAAATTTAACAACCACCAACAAATAGTTCAATATATTAATATAATGAATTATTAAGTGTTTTTCTATAATATTACGCCATTAAAAGTTCTTTTGTAAAAGAATTTATTGTTTTTCTAAAAAAAAACATTTAAATTTAACTTAAAATCTACATACATAACAGAATTAATAAAATTTCTTAAAAATTTATATTTTCTAACTTAATAAACTCCACCTCCTTGTTATCAACATCCTCATCTAAGTAGTTTAAGGAACTTATATTGCTTAGACCAGTATTTAAGTTAAGTAAACCCAATTCGCCATTCAATATAACATCATTTATTAACTTCTTAGCAAAAATATTTTGCGAGTGTGACATTTTCGTTAGTTTAAGAGCCCATGCTAGGGCCATATATTGTTGGCTGGTGTTGGCGGAAGTTGTATTGGGTGGTTGTGTCTGATCTATTGTTGTATTACTGTTGTTTGCATCTGCTGCTTTATTAGTTACTGATTCGTTAGCTGTACAATTCTTCTTTTTAAGTTCTAGTTCATTCGACGAATCGCGCAGCTAAAGAAACAGATTATTATTACAATTTCTTTGGCAGCATAAAGTTTTACCTTAATAATATCTTGTGAATCCTCCGCTATTATATTCAAATCTATGGTCGGTATGGCGTCGGCCTTTAACTTTTTTCTCCCCACACAATTACTCGGAAAATGATGCTCGCATATATAGAGATTTCTTTCATAATCTTGTTCGGGAATTTGACATTTTTCACGCCAAATTTTACCAAGTACCCTATCTGACGTTGGAAATTTAAACATTTTTAATCCTTTATTATTCCTTTTGGATTTTTTGCATATTCTCACACAGCATTTTATGCCAGATGTTAAATTATTTTTGTTTTTCTTATTATTCTCAGCCATTTCGCATTCAAATATTTTACTCGTCTTCAAATACTAAAGAGAATTCAGACGAATTTTGTTTAACATGCATTTGTCTGAAGAGTTTAGCTGTGACTCTTCTCTGCATTCAAACTGTTGTTATTGTGTTGTGATTCTTTACTTTTTGTTTTACTCGCTTTTCTTCTTCCTCTCTTAATTCATTTGAGATAAACAGTTGATTAAAATAAAGCAAAAAATAGTTTTTTTTGTTTACAGTGCTGTAGATATGTATGTATGTATGTTTGCAAAAAAGTAAACACATAAATTGCAATAGCATTGCACTAACCAGCCCTGCTTGCAAATCAAAACAAAAACACTTTTTTCTCCACCTTAATGACAATTAAATTTCTTTTAGAAATTAAAATAAATTTTTTACAAAATTTATTAATTAGCAGTTTGCAAACAGCTAACAAATTGTTTAAAATTTAAAAATAATTAATTGTTTAGTATATTTTCTTTAATTTTCCGTCATTTTAATGTTAAAACATCCTAGTATTTGTTGCCTTAATTAAAGGCTGTACTTGTGGTATACGTTTGCCCACAACAATTGGCGCCGGAGAAGAAAATTTACCATAAATTAGGTCCAAATTAATTAGACTGCTTAAATCCATTACTATTTTGGCCTTTAGTTAAACCTACTAGCCTAAAATAGTGAAAAAAGTTCCTTGACTTGTGTGTAGACCATTTGCCAGGAACTAAAGGCAGTCGGAGTAGATGAAGTGGCCATAAACATGGCCAATTTGTTTACATCTTCGAGCCTCGACATTTAATTATTGTTTTTGTTAAAATTTTTGCCATTTAAATGTTAAAATAAACACATTTTTGTCCATTTGTCAGGAACAGTGGTTTGTTTGCTTGATATGTATGTAGGTACATATAAAATCAGAATAGAAAAGTTTTAGCAAATTTCTTTGTTCTTTTATTATTTAAAAATACTTAAATAAACACTTAAAACTAAATGGATTTATAAAATCTCTTAGATATTTTCTTAAAAACTACAAATCAAAAATATTTTTATTTTCTATAGTAATAAACTCCTGTTCGTTCTCGGCGTCTATACTAGAGATAGGGTCTGTATCGATTCTTGAGCCTATATGGGTTAGACCAGTATTTAAGTTCAATAAACCCAATTCGCCATTAAACATAACCTCATTTATAACCTTTTCGGCAATAATACGTTGCATACGTGACATTTTTGCCAGTTTAAGACCCCATATTTGGGCTATTTGTTGGCAGGAATCCGTTGTGCGACTGGTGGCTTGTTGTTCTTGGTGTTGTTGTTTTTGTTGGCTATGTGGTGGTTGTTGTTGTTGTTGCTGTTTTTGTGGCTGTTGTGGCATTTCGATTGCTGTAAAGTGTTGATTAGGAGGGAAATAACTTTCGTTGGCTCCTGCTGCAAAACCATTATTGCTGGGCGGGCGTATCGTTGATTGCTGGACAGGTGTATCACTGGTTACCTCTTTGACTTTATGTTTTTTCGTTTTAGGCTCTGTAGTGCTATCAGTTTGCTAAAAATACATACATAAATATATTCTGCATTATATATTTTAAATTATAGTCCAGTCTAAAAACTAGTGAAAAGTCTAGCTGTAATCTATAATCTATAGCCTAGTCTAGAATATATTATAAACTACACTATAGTCCCGACTTTACACCAGATCATAGACTAAACTGTATACCAAACTATAGACAATAGAGTAGACTATAGATTTGACATTTAGCATTAGCTTTATACTGTCCCCTTTCTTTTTTATTGCATTTTTTACCCCTTTACACTCTTCTTCCTGCTCTAGCTGTAATCAATTGTAGCGAAATTCCAATTGTATCTTCTAAATGAAATTTCAACAGAATTGTAGTGAAAAAGCACGTTTTCTTTTACGTTTACCTTTACTGTTGTTGTCTTGTCAAAAATGTTGATATTTTTTCTTGTTGTTATTTTGTTTTAGTGGGTCGTATACAGCATTTCGTATAGCGGGGAGAAGGGGTAATGGGGTTCATTTATCAGTCATTCTGTTCGTCGTTGTGTCTGCTGTTTTTTTTTTTTCATAATCGCGTCATCGTTGTTTTGTTGTATTCTGCTATAAGTAATAACATAGGTACTACTTACGTAGTTGTTGCTATTATTTTGCATTTACATTTTGCTACTCTTCTGCAAGTCTCTGCTCACTTTACCAGGTATGGAAAATTGTTATTTTGAAATAGCACTAACTTGCAACAAAAATAGTACTTTTTTGGTTTTAAAGTGCTAACTTTCAGCCATACTATAGACTATATACTAGACAATAAACTAGACTATAGTGTAGACTATAAACTAGACAATAAACTAGACTATAGACTAGACTAGGCTACATACTTGACTAGACTATATATAAGACTTTAGACTAGGCGACAGACTTGACTAGACTATACATATATAAGACTTCAGACTAGTCCATAGACTAGATTATAAGACTTTAGACTAGTCTATAGACTAGATTATTAACTAGACTAGACTTTAGATGAGACTATAGACTAGTCTAGATAGTCTAGAGTCTAGACTATAAACTAGGCTATAGACTAGACTATATGCAAGACTTTAGACTAGCCTATAGACTAGACTGCAGACTAGACTATACACTAAACTATACACTAGACTATAGACTAGCCTATAGATTAAACTTTACTCTGGACTAGACTATTGACTAGACTATAACCTAGACTATAGACTATACTATTGACTAGACTATAGCCTAGACTATAAACTAGACTATTGACTAGACTATAAACTATACTATACGTCATACACTAGTCTATAGACTGATCTGTTGATTACTTAACAAAAGTTTATAGGTTATAATCAAGGCGAATAGACTATAAGGTGAAGTCATTTCATTTTGCAGCGAATTCATGAAATTTTTTATATATGTAGTTTGACAGCGTCGGGTTTGAGAGAGAATTTTTTTTATATTGAGTTTGACTACTTCGGGCTAAATTTCCATGGACAAAAAAACAATCAGCTGTTGAAATGACTTCACCTTATTAGTTTCGCCATGGTTAGAATCAATCGAATCGATAAAGTACTAAATTTTCCATGCCTGCACTTTACTCTTCTTAAAATTCCCTCTACTCTTCTTATTCTGTACGCTTAGTGCAAAACATAATGGCAACCTCAGGCGTTTTTGTTGCTTTAGTATTAGAAGCAGTTGTTATCGTTTTGTAGTTTGTAGTGTAACGCAGTAAATGTGTTTTAATAGTTTTGTTATAACTGTTTGTAGTAAAGTCTAAAGAGCATTATTCACACCCCCCCAACACCCTATTAGCACTCGTACTCTCTCTCTCTCTTTCGTTAATTCAAGTATAAAAATGGCAAAGCAATTGTTGTTGTTTTGTTTCAATATTTTTAAACACGTTTCGAGTGTGTGTATATGCGAAAGTGTAATGTTTTTTTGTTGCTGTTATTTTTGGTTTTATATTTCAATTCAGTTGTTTTTATTTTCATGTTCATGTCTGTCTTTGGTTTTTTTCTCGCTCATACAAGTTGTTTGCTTGTGAAGTAAGTCTCTTGCTAGGGCCCTTAATAATAAAGTTAATTTTAAGTTAGCAGCAACAAAAAGCAATTTTTGCTGCTGCTTATATTATTTTTATTATTTTTTATACGTCAACGACGTCCACAGCTGTTTGTTGTTGTTGTTGTTTTTCTTTTAGCTCAGTCATGTTGTATTGAGAGGAAAAAAAAAAATACCAGCAAATAAAACTCTCTGCCCTGTCGTGCCATGCCTTAACACTGCCTGTCACTGCAGCTATATAATACAATCAGTTGTCTATATGTATAAATTTATGTTTATATGTAAGTATGTTTAAATAATATCGTACCATATCGTGTGTATACTATAATTTTAAAAATTTATTTCTATATAACACAAAATATAAGTAAATGAGAAAACTTGCTATTGGCTCCTTAAAGTGCTGGTGGTACCAGCTCCCTTAAAATGATTAAGGTTTTAGGTAAATATCGACTTTTTTAAAGGAAATTATAATTTAAGTCTTATAAGCTTAATAAATTAAATTTCTTTAAAATTATACAAATTTCCCTTTTATGAACAAAATTGCTTTTGAGGGGAAATTTTTATTTGAAAAGAAATTTTGAAAATTTTATAATATTTTAAGTTAATTTCGTGTTAAAACTAAAAATTTACAAAAAATATTTCAATTTTCTTTATATAAAATAATTTCCCTTTAAGGGAAATTTATATAAAAGGCAATTTGACAACTTTTCATCAACCCTAAAGCCAATTTTTGTTGCTCAATAAATAATTCGGGAATTTTTTCAAAATTTCCCTTATAAGAAAAAATTTCCTCTTAAGGGAAATTTTATTTAAAAGAAAATTTGACAACTTTTTGTGGTTTTCTAAGTTAAATTTACATTTAATAAAAAAATTTCAATAAATTTTCAAAATTTCCCTTATAAGAAAAAATTTTCCTTTAGGGGAAATTTTATTTAAAAGGAAATTTGATAACTTTTTATAGTTATCTAAGTCAAATTTACATTTAAAATAAAATTTTCTAAAAATTTTCAAAATTTCCCTTATAAGAAAAAATTTCCCTTTAAGGGAAATTTTATTTAAAAGGAAATTTGATAACTTTTAATGATACTCAATGTCAAATATAAATTTTAAATAAAATTTTATAAAAATTTTCAAAATTTCCCTTATAAGAAAAAATTTCCCTTTAAGGGAAATTTTATTTAAAAGGAAATTTGAAAACTTTTTATGGTTTTCTAAGTTAAATTTACATTTAATAAAAAAATTTCAATAAATTTTAAAAATTTCCCTTATAAGAAAAAATTTTCCTTTAGGGGAAATTTTATTTAAAAGGAAATTTAATAACTTTTTATAATTTTCTAAGTCAATTTTACATTTAAAATAAAATTTTCTAAAAATTTTCAAAATTTCCCTTATAAGAAAAAATTTCCTCTTAAGGGAAATTTTATTTAAAAGGAAATTTGACAACTTTTTATGGTTTTCTAAGTTAAATTTAAATTTGAAACAAAATTTTATAAAAATTTTCAAAATTTCCCTTATAAGAAAAAATTTCCCTTTAAGGGAAATTTTATTTAAAAGGAAATTTGAAAACTTTTTATGGTTTTCTAAGTTAAATTTACATTTAATAAAAAAATTTCAATAAATTTTCAAAATTTCCCTTATAAGAAAAAATTTCCCTTTAGGGGAAATTTTATTTAAAAGGAAATTTGATAACTTTTTATAGTTATCCAAGTCAAATTTACATTTAAAATAAAATTTTCTAAAAATTTTCAAAATTTCCCTTATAAGAAAAAATTTCCCTTTAGGGGAAATTTTATTTAAAAGGAAATTTGAAAACTTTTTATGGTTTTCTAAGTTAAATTTACATTTAATAAAAAAATTTCAATAAATTTTCAAAATTTCCCTTATAAGAAAAAATTTCCCTTTAGGGGAAATTTTATTTAAAAGGAAATTTGATAACTTTTAATGATTTTCAATGTCAAATATAAATTTTAAATAATATTTTCTACAAATTTTCAAAATTTCCCTTATAAGAAAAATTTCCCTTTAAGGGAAATTTTATTTCAAAGGAAATTTGATAACTTTTTATGTTTCTCTAAAGCAAATTTAAATTTTAATTAGGATTTTAAGAAAATTTTCAAAATTTCCCTTATAAGACAAAATTTCCCTTTAGGGGAAATTTTCTTTAAAAAGAAATTTTTCCAAATTTATATGGTTTTCCTAAATAGTTTTAAATTTTTAATAAGATTTAAAAAAAAATCAAAATTTCCCTTATGAGAAAAAATTTCCCTTAAAGGAAATTTTTTCAAAAAGGCACATTTTTAATTTTTTTAAATTGTTTTCTAGTAAATAACCCAAGCTTATTAAGATTTTCGAAAAAAAGTTCAAATTTTCTTTTGTAATAAAATATTTCCCTTAAAGGGAAATTTTTCTAAAAAGTACATTTCTGAATATTTATATAATTTTCTAAGATAAATCCCTATTATTTAAAAATATTTTATCAAAAATTTCCTTTAGAGACCTAAAAATTTCCCTTGCTTTATGCAATATTTACCTTTCGCCTTGGTCCCCCTCTAATGCATTCCACTTCATCCAAATATTTCAATTTATCAAAATACCACAAAGAAGACTCAACTACGTTATCACTTGTTTTTTGTAGTCTTAAAACGCGTTTATAATTTGTACGAAATACATTGATTTTCTTAATCACTTTTTCTCTATCCGCTTCTGCATCATATTCTTTTAGTTTTTTCACCATTATATCGTACGATTTATTTTTCAACTCACGATTTGTATAGTCGCGACTATGAACTTTCCACAAACTAGGTAGAGATTTGTAAAGATCAAGAAATTCCGACCAAAATATTCTTTGCTGTTGATTCATAGTGCGGTGAATGAGTGTGTATGGTTTGTTGACGTATACTTGAATGATTGAGCAAGCATGCTGGTTCAAGCAATTCAATGCACTCACTCACAAATACTTTCAAGCAACTGCCAAAACAAACCTCATTGTGTTTGCACCAGCATAATCGGCGAATTCATTGTGTGTTTGTTCCCTTTAACACCCCACTTCTCGAAAATATTTTACTTTTATGTTCTATTGTAACAGAAATTTATTAATACTTTACCTTCAAAATACCTTTTATTTCGCGAAATTTTAGATGGGGATGTCTTTTCGAAAATCCCCAATACCATCTCCTTCCAGGTCGGCCATTTATAAAGGGAGTGGATCGTTGACGTTTCTTAACTATTGCTTCTACTGTATCTAGCAAGTCTTTAGCTTTTAATGTTACTCCATTATTTGCATGTGCTTCGCACCATTTCACCACACATTCCTCTTCATCCTCAGATAATACTGTATGTGAACCGATTTTTTTGGCATTATCGGCTATGCGTCCATGAATTCTATCCTGTATAGTGCTACGCGGTACACCGTATTTTTTACTTGCTCGCAATATCGAAGATGTACCAGCTCTTATTTCTTTTAAGGCATTTTTTAGGGATTCTTCGGAGTATTGGTACAGGGATCGTTTTTTACGTTCGGTGGACGACATATTTGACATTTTCAAATACTTCAAGTCTGAAATTTCCAAAATTTGCTATATAGACTATAGACTAGTGTATAGTCTATACTGAATTCCACTCTATAGTCTATAGTCTAGTCTATAGTCTAGTCTATAGTCTAGTCTAGAGTCTAGTCTGTAGTCTAGTCTATAGTCTAGTCTATAGTCTAGTCTATAGTCTAGTCTAGTCTATAGTCTAGTCTATAGTCTAATCTAGTCTATAGTCTAGTCTATAGTCTAGTCTATAGTCTAGTCTATAGTCTAGTCTATAGTCTAGTCTATAGTCTAGTCTATAGTCTAGTCTGTAGTCTAGTCTATAGTCTAGTCTATAGTCTAGTCTATAGTCTAGTCTAGTCTAGTCTATAGTCTAGTCTATAGTCTAATCTAGTCTATAGTCTAGTCTATAGTCTAGTCTATAGTCTAGTCTATAGTCTAGTCTATAGTCTAGTCTATAGTCTAGTCTATAGTCTAGTCTATAGTCTAGTCTATAGTCTAGTCTATAGTCTAGTCTATAGTCTAGTCTATAGTCTAGTCTAGTCTATAGTCTAGTCTATAGTCTAGTCTATAGTCTAGTCTATAGTCTAGTCTATAGTCTAGTCTATAGTCTAGTCTATAGTCTAGTCTATAGTCTAGTCTATAGTGTAGTCTGTAGTCTAGTCTATAGTCTAGTCTATAGTCTAGTCTATACTCTAGTCTATAGTCTAGTCTATAGTCTAGTCTATAGTCTAGTCTATAGTCTAGTCTATAGTCTAGTCTATAGTCTAGTCTATAGTCTAGTCTATAGTCTAGTCTATAGTCTAGTCTATAGTCTAGTCTATAGTCTAGTCTATAGTCTAGTCTATAGTCTAGTCTATAGTCTAGTCTATAGTCTAGTCTATAGTCTAGTCTATAGTCTAGTCTATAGTCTAGTCTATAGTCTATTCTATAGTTTGGACCATAGTCTAGTCTATAGTCTGGACTATAGTCTAGTCTATAGTCTGGACTATAGTCTAGTTTATAGTATGGCCATAGTCTAGTCTATATTCTGGACTATGGTCTAGTCTGTAGTGTGGACAATAGTCTAGTCTATAGTCTGGAATATAGTCTAGTCTATAGTCTGGACTATAGTCTAGTCTTTAGTCTGGACTATAGTCTAGTCTATAGTATGGACAATAGTCTAGTCTATAGTCTGGAATATAGTCTAGCCTATAGTCTAGTCTATAGTCTAGTCTATAGTATGGACAATAGTCTAGTCTATAGTCTGGAATATAGTCTGGACTATAGTCTAGTCTATAGTATGGACAATAGTCTAGTCTATAGTCTGGAATATAGTCTAGCCTATAGTCTAGTCTATAGTCTGGACTATAGTCTAGTCTATACTCTGGACTATAGTCTAGTATATAGTCTGGACTAAAGTCTAGTCTAGTCTATAGTCTGGACTTTAGTCTAGTCTATAGTCTGTACTATAGCCTAGTCTGTAGTCTGTACTATAGCCTAGTCTATAGTCTGGACTATAGTCTAGTCTATAGTCTGGACTATAGTCTAGTCTATAGTCTGGACTATAGTCTAGTCTATAGTCTGGACTATAGTCTAGTATATAGTCTGGACTATAGTCTAGTCTATAGTCTATTCTATTGTCTGGTCTAGTCTGGACTTTAGTCTAGTCTATAGTCTGGACTATAGCCTAGTCTGTAGTCTGTACTATAGTCTAGTCTATAGTCTGGACTATAGTCTAGTCTATAGTCTGTACTATAGCCTAGTCTATAGTCTGGACTATAGTCTAGTCTATAGTCTGGACTATAGTCTAGTCTATAGTCTGGACTATAGTCTAGTATATAGTCTGGACTAAAGTCTAGTCTATAGTCTGGACTTTAGTCTAGTCTATAGTCTGTACTATAGCCTAGTCTGTAGTCTGTACTATAGCCTAGTCTATAGTCTGGACTATAGCCTAGTCTATAGTCTGGACTATAGTCTAGTCTATAGTCTGGACTATAGTCTAGTCTATAGTCTGGACTATAGTCTAGTCTATAGTCTGGACTATAGTCTAGTCTATAGTCTGGACTATAGTCTAGTATATAGTCTGGACTATAGTCTAGTCTATAGTCTGGACTATAGTATAGTCTATAGTCTGAACTATAGTATAGTCTATAGTCTGGTCTAATCTATAGTCTAGACTTTAGTCTAGTCTATAGTCTGGACTATAGTCTAGTCTACAGTCTGGACTATAGTCTAGTCTATAGTCTGAACAATAGTATATTCCATAGTCTGGACTAGTCGTGACTGTAGTCTAGTCTAGAATATAGTCTGAATTATAATCGAGTAAAATATCTGCAATAAGTCGTTAAGGTTGGCAACACTGATGACAAAAAAAATTTAATAAATAACTTGGCACTACTGCACGACAGTGTTGAAAGAAATATTGTAACTGAATGAGAACACAAGTAGATGAACAAATATACCAACAAAATTTTAATTTTCTCTCGCAAAATGCCAGCTATTGGTGCATACACATGACGACTTTTAGTATATTTACTCCATGAATTTGCTTTACTAAATGTCAAAATTAAAATCGTACAAATGTTAATTCGCCGTCATAGATTTTACTGTTGTTGTTTTTGCTGCTGCTATTACAGTTTCTATTGCTGTTGTTGTTATTGTTAATAATAACATAGCAGTGTCGGTTAAATTTTATTGTTTTATCTTTGTTTCTCTTACATATGTTTTTTTTTTGTTTACTTACATCTTCGCTATCACTTTCAATGTCACTCTCAATATCTTGCCGGTGAACGAGTTTATAATGTCGTTTTATATTTGATTTTACTTTTCCACTAAGCTCCTTTCTGCACGTTTCTATTAAACATGTGCTTTTTTTCGTAACTTTATCGTATGATACACATTTTTCTAAATGAAAAACTCTTCTGGCCATTGCTAAAGACACGTTTAATTGATTACAGAATCAAAATTGTACTGTCTTCACGAACGCAAACACGATTACGAAAAGGTCCCAATATGTTTTTTTTTTTCATTCATTTTTGTACACACACATTGAGAATGGTAAACATGTTTTTGTTCGCTCTTCATTTTCGAATGAAGCAGGCATGGGAAATAGAAATTTCATAATATTTATAAACAATAGCTGACATTTATAGGCAAAAGAAGATACATACATATAAGAGCAATAAATTTAACATAAAGGAAATTACAACAACGACTAGATTATAGACTATACTATAGACTAGACTTTAGACTAGTCTGATTTATACCCTGGACTATAGTCCAGCCTATAGTCTAGTCCAGTATATAGTGTAGTCTATAGTGTAGTTTATAGTGTAGTCTATAGTCAAGTCTATAGTCCAGTGTATAGTGTAGTCTACAGTGTAGTCTATAGTCAAGTCTATAATCTAGTCTATAGTCTAGTCTACAGTCTGGTCTATAATCTAGTCTATAGTCTAGTCTATAGTCTAGTCTATACTCTAGTCTATAGTCAAGTGTATAATCTAGTCTATAGTCTAGTCTATAGTCGAGTCTATAGTCTAGTCTATAGTCTAGTCTATAGTCGAGTCTATAGTCTAGTCTATAGTCTAGTCTATAGTCTAGTCTATAGTCTAGTCTATCGTCTAGTCTATAGTCTAGTGTATATTCAAGTCTACATTTTATTCTATAGTCTAGTCAATACTCTAGTCTATACTCTGATCTGGTTTTTAGTCTACACTATAGTTTTCATTATAGTCTGAATAATAATCTAGTATATTCTAAAGATTGCAATGATTTGTTAAGATTGGCAACACTGTTTGTAAACAATCTGGCACAACTGTGTTTGAAAGAAAAACTGTAACTGAGTGAGGATAAAAAAATAGATGAACAAATATACCAAAGAATTGTATTACATATCCAGCACTGTAAATGTAGCTTTATATTTTTTCTCACTCTATGAATTCGCTTTATTAAATGTCAAAAATAAAAACGTATGTACAATTTCTAATTCGCCTTAATTTTTTCAGAATATTTATTTCTTTTTGTTTGGACTATTTACTGTTTACAGCTTCTGTTGTTGTTATGAATAACCAGGGAAATGTATGTGTGTATGTATGTATGTAAACTTTGGTGGTGGCTTTATTGTTTTTTCTTTCATTTAATACTCTTATTTTTTTTACTTACATCTTCGCTATCATTTTCAATTTCACTTCGAATGTCTCGAAAATGAACGAGTTTATAGTGTCTTCTTACATTTCCTGAATTTTTTCCATTTAGCTCTTTTCTACAGTATGGTACTAAGCAAGTGGTTTTTTTCGTATTTTCATCATACGATGCGTATTTTTCCAAATTTAAACCTTTTCTACCCATTGCTACACACACGTTTTATCACTAACAATATCAAATTTATACTGTTCTCACGAAAACAAACACGAAAACTTCACAACAAGATTTATTCATTTTTGTTCACACATTGAGAATGTAAACAATTTTTTTTGCTCTTCATTTTGAAATGCTAGGCGAAATCAGGTATGGGAAATTG